AGATATGTTTCGCGAAAGCAAATTTCAGAAAAATTAACAAAGAACTTTCAATGTTATCTTGGCCAATATATAGTGATGAAAAAGTCACATTCTTTTAAACTGTATAAAATAACGTTCTTACACAGTGATTACATAAAGTACTCGGTTTTGCGGCATAGCTACTTTGCATTTAATAAGAAATTAAAGTTATATTTATGTCAAATAAAAAACAATGTCCGTCCACTATGCATTATCGCAACACTCTGTCTAGCGACAGCCAACTCATTGCCAACATGTTTGCCCAGTTCTTTAGGTCCAATTGTTCTCTAGGCACCCTACAACTGGTGACTATCCGTATTATCCGTATGAACTTTGTCCGATTAACTCAGCCTATATTCCAATAATATCTTCCGATGAAGTTTTACATTATTTAAAAACCTTAAAACCGTTATTTAGGCCTGGACCCGATCATATTCTGCCCAGTTTCCTTAAAAACTGCGCTGAGAATATCTGTGAGCCTTTAGCAACTATATTGAACTTGGCACTAAAACATGGCGTTTTCCGTCAGTCTGGAAGGAATCTTTCATAATACCACTTCACAAAAATTGCAGGAGGTCTTCTATAGAAAGCTATCGAGGCATAACGAAGCTCTCCGCTATTCCCAAATTATTCGAAGCAATTATTGTTAATCAGCTTATATCTTCTTCAATTTCACAATCTCACCCCCGGTTTTCTAAAGGAAAATCTACTATCACTAATTTATTAGAGTTTACAACTCACATCTCAAATGGTTTTAGAGAAAATGCCTATACCGACGTAATATACACCGATTTCAGTAAAGCTTCACTCGTTTCTCATCCCTAAACTCGACCTAATCGGCTTTCAGCCCAGTCTTCTTCAATGGATCTCTTCTTAACTCTCTGATAGAACGCAAAGAGTTATTTTTAAAAATTGTTATTCAAACATCATTAAAGTTTCTTCAGGAGTTCATCAGGGAAGCCGCCTTGGTCCGATTCTGTTCCTGATATTCCATAATGAATAATTTTAGTACGTTGTCCTCTATCGAAGAAAGGTCTTTGTTACAAGAGGATCTAAGCAACGTGGTAAGTTGGTGTAATGTAAACTATATGCTATTAACCTTAAAAAATTTAAAGTTATGTGTTTTTTTTAATTTTTGAAGTTTAACTTCTTTAGATGCGGTTGGTTGGTTGGGAGTAAATTGGCAAATTCAGCGGAAATTGCACACGGAAATGGTGCAACGGAAATGATGCAAAATAAATGGTTGGGGCTGAAACAAGTACTTCTTGTGTGTATGCAACGGAAATGATGCAACGGAAATGGTGCAACGGAAATGGTTGGGGCTGAAACAAGTACTTCTTGTGTGTATGCATATGGTATGAATTTAACAAAAACTTGCTAATAAA